TGCCGGAGTTTAATGTTGTTTTGTTACTTGCTACCGGGTGTCTGTGAGAACAAAACACGGGCATAGAAAAGACTATAACTTGTTTTTAACGTGCACAGTAACTGAAACTTAAAACTGTTAAAAGAAAGGCTCAATAACTGTTGCACAGATATAAGTCTGTATCTAGTAGATTGTGAAAGAATGATTATCAGTTCCACACACAGAGATATATAAATTCTACATTTATTTAAATGAGGGAAAAAAACTTCACTGGTATCGGATCGGAATCGGCATCGGCCAATACCGAACCCTAAGTATCGGAATCGGTATCGGAGGCAAAAAAGGCAGATCGGAGCATCCCTACAATTAATATCAGAGTATAAATACAGTCTCTTACCACTTCTGTTGTTAGTTCTTTCGGCATCCCTCCTCCTCCTTTTATGCATATTTATTAATCTTTCTGTCTATAGGGGGGCTATCGGAGCTCGAGTAGAATAGTCTCTCTGAGCCCTCCATTGCAGATATCAAACCAAATCTGTTTACCACTAATGCTAAGATTATATGGGCACACGAACTCGTGAAATACTATATACTGTAGTTATGTTATAAATATCAATGATGTTAAAGAAATATAAAAACACCTACAGTATCTTTATGAAAAACACAAGTAGTTCTTATATAGACTAAAGGCCATGTGTGATTATTCTTGTAATATTAAGATCAACAGTATCATTATTGTTTTTGTAATACCTTCGCTATCCTGAAACGTCAACCTAATTAAATTTGTCAGTGATGTTACTGGTTCTTTAGAATTGTTCTAAAATTATAGCTCTATAATTTAGTTAATGAAGTGGATAAAAATAGCAGATAACATCATTAATATAGCACAGCAAGTGTGAGAAGTTCAGCACTGACAAGTTTCATTTTTGAAAACAATTCAGACGGAAATGTAAAATCTTAATTAAGGACAACATTTCTGCAAGAGCACTAAACTTAGAATATCCTTCCTGCCTCTTCCCATCAAGATCTATGATGTGGCTAGGGGTTTGAGAGGTACAGATGCAAACAACAGATAAGTGGACATAAATTCACTCTGTGACTGCACGTCCACACTTTGAAAGGTTTCTTTCCATTTTAATCTTAACAATGACGTTCATGAAAGATATGAACTTACAATATTTTGGATCTGCGAGTACAACTTTCTGAAAAACTCTGATGAAATACCAAAGCTTCAAATATTATGTTGCCATTTTCACACTCACAGTACTGATCACAGCAAAAAAGCACTAACCGCACTTTAAAAAGTCTTCCTGGAAACAACCAACAAGGCACAGCCCATGAAAGGTCTTATAGTGAGTGGTGTGAATACACCTATTTTTCCTCAGCGACTACGTTTTCCTATGCTCAGTTTAGGGAATGAGATTTTGAAATTTGAATGATACTTTTTTTTCTTTGCATGCATTAAGACATCATTTGTGTTAAAGGGATAGTTCACCCAAAAATGAAAAGTTGATGTTTATCTGCGTACCCCAAGGGCATCCAAGATGTAGGCGACTTTGTTTCTTCAGTAGAACACAAACGAAGATTTTTAACTCAAACCGTTGCAGTCTGTCAGTCATATAAATGGAGGTGAATGGGAATCACGGCTTTGAGAGTAAAAAAAAACATACACAAACAAAACAAAATTAAACCCTGCGGCTCGTGACGATACATTGATGTGTAAAGACACGAAACGATTGGTCTGTGCAAGAAACTGAACAGTCTTTATGGCAGATCGCAGACTTATAAGTGCATTACCGCCACCTATCTCTCAAATGGACCATTGACACTATCTACAATCTCAATTAGGAGTGTCAATGGTCCATTTGAGAGATAGGTGGTGGTAATGCACTTATAAGTCTGCGATCCGCCGTAAAGCAAGAAGAAGAAGATGCGTCACGCGCCGGCTGAAGAAGACGCGAACGCGCTCAGGACAGTTCGGACATTGCAGTAAATCAGAGGTAAAAAAACAATATAAGTACTGTTCAGTTTCACACCAATCGATTAAACCAATCGTTTCGTGTCTTTACACATCAATGTATCGTCACGAGCCGCAGGGTTTAATTTGGTTTTGTTTGTGTAT